AGTTCCATCGTAGGACACCACAAGCACTATGAACAGTAGCTGTCATAGCTAGAATGATGCAGAATCACAGAATCATAGAATATCCTGAGTTGGAAGGGGCCCCAGAGGATCATCCAGTCCAGCTCCTGAATGATAATGATTGTTACTGCTTATCTCAGTGCCTTGCATTTGAATTATAATGGCATTTTTACTTTGTTAAGTTATGCCACAAGCTGACCTTTTTCACAGCTCTTGCCCTCATATTCAGCAGGACAGCGGCAAACGTAATCCTGAAATTGGTCATCACAAATTCCGCCATTCTGACAGGGGTTGGAGTCACACTGGTTAGGGTCTGTAAAATATTCAGTGTCAGTTCAGCTCATGCAAAATGCTGCAGCAGTGGAAGAGTTTCACAGCTGTTAGAACATCCTGAATGATCGTACCGGAATAGATGTGCCAGAACTCATTCTGGAAGAAAAAGATGCGAGATTCAATTAAAGAAAAATTAACTCATGTCTTTCTGCCCTTGTCACACAGGAGGGGTTACAGAAAGCCAGAGTGATGCCCCTTCTGCCTTTATAATTTGTGACAGTTGATATCCATAAAATATTCTACATTATTTTCTAGATTGTACATTATTTTCAAATGCCAGTAGAGAAGGGCACTGTGTTACACACACAAATGGGTTACCCGTAAGTAACCTATGTTTGGTTGAGCTGGGATTGACTGAAGAATATGTTGCACAGTACAACAATACAAAGTATTATCAGGGTAGGAACTGGGGCTTTGGGGAGACGACTCAGAGAGCATCCCCTAGATGGGTACTGCCGGGGATGGCCTATGCAGTGTGCCCTCCTGCATGCCTTGTCACTTTATCTGACACACCCACTGCTGCTGTGTGTCTTCCTATAGATATAAGACAAAGATACAAACAGCAGGACTTTTTTTGTTCTCATGGTTTAGAATGTCAAAGCAAACCCTTGAGTAGGGGAAGTCCTTCTGACAGTGAGTGCTCATCCAGGCCCATGTTACTTACTGTCCTTGCATCATCACGGTAAATCTCTCTTGCTTCCTCATAGGAACACTTTTCTTCCATGCATTCTCTCTCCAGTGACCCCAGTTTGATCTCTTCAAAGAAGCTGTTGGCTCGTCTTTGCCTTTGCAAAACGCTGCTTGCCTCTTCCTGCTTTAGAAAGACTGAAAAACAGTGGCATGTTCTGTTTGTCGTACAACTGTGCTTGCCAGACAGAGAGAATCTGGGGACAATTGCCTCTGGAAGCTTTTTTGCTTTCCAAGGCTTTTTTTTTCTGAGATACTTTATAAAAGAGATGGGCAAATGTGAAGGAGCCTCCTTTCTCTGTCTTGCCTCACAGATAAATTGACAACACATGAATTTTACAGAGCCCAGAGCTTAGGAGAAGGTGGCACGTTACAACAGTGTTGCATGCATGCCAGTGACTCCTAAGGTACGGTTCTACATCATATGCATTTTGACATATGCATCAGTTTCTTTCAGTTGTGGCAGCTAGGAAGCCTGTGTCACTTTATCTAGCACCAGTGTACATGGCAAACCCTGATTTTTCTGTACATGCTGCAGTCATTTGGTGACAGGTGGATCACAGTCATCCCTTCACCCACAATCACATGTTATTTCACACTCCTTCACTTGTTGGACCTGAAGAAGGAACTTATCCCACCACTAGTAAACCACAATTTAAAAACCACTGCTTTATCTTTAGGTTTCTTTGTGGAAAAGCCTACGTTAAGGTACACAGAAAAGCTGGACACTGCTGACTACTTTTCCTAGTGGAGCCTGTAGATGGCTCCTAGCTTCTGTCAGCACTACAGACCACAGCCGCAGAGGGATCTTCTCTTTGTGTGTCTATGCCATGCTTTGGGAAGACATTGAGTACACAGGTTTGATAGCAGAGCTCATTTCCTGGAGCTGCATCAACTTGCAACTGGCAGAAATGTGCACTGAAAGCACAGATATCACTGTCACCATGCTGACCTGTTCCCCAGCCTTAGGATATAAGCACAACCCATACCTATGCCTTCCCAGTATAATTCAGGATAAAGAACAAGAAGTCCCAGTGCTACAGAGTACTTTTTCTCCAGAACAAGTCTTGAAACTATCAAAAGATTGAAACAATCTTTTTTTCTTTTTTTTTCTTTTTCTTTTTTTTTTTTCCCCTTTATGTCAGTAGAGGAGCTTCTGGAGCTTCATGACGACAACTTAAATTTCAGTGCTTAAACTATCTCACCTGTGATTGTAGGTAGATTTGGGGATTAAGCCTGACATGTGTCACCTGCCTTTCCCAGGACATTCTCCACTACATGACCCCTGAAAGAAGAGGAGTTACATTCTACCTTCTGGAAAGGCCCTGAGGGATGTTGAAGGATAAGACTTGTCTGTGTCCCCATCAACACAAATATAAATGCTGAGAGGGTTTATTCCAGTCTGGTGAGGCATCTTCATAAACGTTTGTGTCTAATCAGAATATTTGCTCAATTACGTGCAAAATAGTGGTAATTTTCCCCTATATTTCATAGTTACCTGAAGGGATAAAGTGTGTGCGCTGAATTTATCCCAGGCTGCTTCATAAATATTTGGTCATTATATGAATGTCATCTGGGTCTTTCTGCTGTGATTTCAAAGACAGGCTGTATGCATTTAATATGGCTTTCCTTGAGGGCTTTTAATTAATCTTATACTGCAGATACATGGCACACGTATCACTGCATGGGCACAGACTCCAACAGAGGAGCGAACCTGGGTGCATGGCTGGGAACATCCACCCACCGTTATTTTGGCATTCTCCACTTATTTGCATTGGAACACTTTTGACTTTGCTACATATTTTTCTGCCTTTCCCCACTGCAGCACAGGAGACCCAGTCAATGGCTAACTGGGAATCTGCAAGCCCTGGATCTAATTTATTGCTATGGGAGCTGACTTTAAGACACATACTGAAGCCCCTGAAGAGCTACCTCCTCTCTGCCTTCTACTGCTGCTGAAATAGGATGGATCCTCACCTCTTTAATTACTCATCAGCTGAATGATAGGCTATTGATGCTTTGCGAAATGTCCCAGTTCAATATGATATAACAATAAATCCCAGTGTAGTGGGCAGACAGCTGGTGGTTTGCCTGCTATCGGTGCACTGAGATAATAGATTTGTTTAACAGTCTGCTTTTCCTTAGTTGGCAGAAAATATGCGTGGAACCATCACACTGAGAGCAAACAAGAACCTTAGAACACCACAGGCACAGCCGGAGGCAGGACAAACATGCAACACAAAACTTGCAATGGAAATTATGTCTCAGTAACAGGAAAGAGATCCGTTGTCAGTAAGCAGAATTACAGACATATCCTGCAACATACCTGCATCCAGAGAAAGAGGGATCAGTAGCAGAAAGCAGAGAAACAAAGCCACACACTGCCTGGAAATCATGATGAACCCTGTGAGCCAGTGTCCTAGTAGTGTATTGACATTTCAGAAAGGACTGTTTGGACTAAGAGCTCAACTTCAAACGTTTGGAGCCAGAGGAGGGGCTGGCGAGTCATGGAAACAGCAAAAGATCCATGACAGCCTGGCGAGCTGAGCAGAAGGATTTGCATGTGCCCTTTTCACACAAGCAAGGAGCTTGGTTTTGAAGCATGCTCTCCTGACCCGTGCAAAGGCTATGCTGATTACACAGACTGCTACCCCGGGGCCTTCATTTTCCATCTAACACACCTTTTTCATGACAAATATAAATGCTGTGACCCTGCATCCGTAGGACAGGCATTAACTTGGCCCTGTAGCCTCACATGCAAAGAGCAGTGATGTGATATTTATCTTGCATCAGCAGTCAAGACACAGCCTTCCAGTGCTTTGGGTACGACTGAAGCACTGCCATCTGTCTTTTCCCACTTCTCTATCACCAGCTGAAACTCTGCAGTTCTGCCAGAATTTGCTTGGAGACACTAATTAACCAGCAAGGAGACACTCTACACTGTTTCTCTCCATCTTTACTGCCAGACCCACGTAGGCTACACAAGTTGGACTAGCTGGAAGAGATGTGGAGCTGATCCATTCTGTACTTTATTACTAACAACAGGGCTTTGAGGAGCTAATCTGCAGACAGTGTTTCATCTGGAACATAAGCAGTCCTCTGATTTAATGGAAATCAATTAATGGCATCAGACTGGAGAGCTGACAACGTTCTTGGGGAAATATTTACTTAAGATAGCAGCAAGGTAAAGAGCATGTTTGTCTATGAGAAGTGAAGCATTGCCTAAAGGCAACATGTTTTCCAGGCTGTTCTGCCCTTCTTGTGTGGAAAGGAAAGAGGGTCACCCCTGCATCTGAATGCTAGAGCAAAGGAAAGCAACAGCCGGATTTTCACTTTGCTGCCAACATTCAGCAAAACTTCCTGCAGAAGTCGTGATTGCTTAGGAAATTAAGGCTCGTGGCTGTTTGCATGCAGTCCTGTTGTTTAGTGGTGGTGGACACAGCTGGATGTTCTGCTTCAAAATCACTTTCCCAAGGGGCAGCATCCGGGCACTTCTCTGTATCACAGCCTGGCTAATTCCCAGCAGTCCTGTTCCTGGGACAGCTGGAAACAGATGGGCAGTGCAGTCCCAGGCAGAGGAAAGAGGCCAGTTACTGTAACGCAAAAGAAGCTACAGCAGCCCTACGCTGCTTTTGGGAACTTTCTCCATACCTCAGAGCCAACACAATCCTCCTTGCTAACTTGGCTGTGGCAAGTGAGTTGAAAATGGGAAGTGTGCGTTCAGCTTAGCAAGACCAGACCTAAGCTTATTGGAGATGCTTGAAAATTTCTTTTTGTCTCATCTTGTTGGGGAAAGATCTAGCCCCATCTAGTTGAATGAGTCTCACAGATCAGAGCATGACAGTCTGCCTTCTGTACCTGATGCCAGCCTGGGTCTGCACCTCTGCCCTCCGCTCCCTGCATTTCCTTAGGCTGGGTGGGTTTCTCCCTGATGGGGAGGGTGAGGTGGCTGCCACTCCTCAGTGGCATTGCAGCACCATGGTATTCCTTCACTTTCTTCATAATGTGCAGATCCTGTACATCCTTTAGGACTGATGCAGTATTTTAATACTGTCTTCCTTCCTCTCTTGGCATCCCTTAAATGTGAAAGATTTTGGTTTTATTTCTTGGGAACACTCGGTTATTATTTTTAGAGCCCAGGAAGAAGACCAAGTGCTGGGAACAAGAGTCAGTTCATATGGGGACCATCTTTCTTCCAAAACCAATTCATGCCATTAGACTCCATCAGGGATGAACCTGAGAAGGGTCACCATGGATTTAGCACTCCCAGGACAATGTTACAGCTCAAGAAGTTCATATTCAGAGATCTCATCACAAAGGTATTTCCTACTAACTTCAGCCGGACCAGTTCTTTGCTTAACGAGCTTTGTTTTTAAAGAGCCCAGTTTCCTTACTGTCTTAGACCCCAAGGTTCCTGGTTTCAGCTGACAGAGTTAATTTTCTTCTCAGTAGCTGTTACAGTCCTGGGTTTTGGATTCAGTATAAGGATAATGTTGATAACACACTGATGTTTTGGCTGTGGCTGAGCAGTGCTTACCCTGTCAGGGACTTTTCAGTTTTCCATGCTCTGCCAGTGAGCACAAGAAGCTGTGAGGGAGCATGGCCAGGACAGGTGACCCGAACTGGCCAAAGTTCCATACCACAGGATGTCATGACCAGTATTCAAACTGAGGAAGTTCACTGGAAGGGGACAATTGCTGCCTGGGAACAGGATGGGTATCGGTCAGTGGGTGGTGAGCAATTGTATTGTGCATCACTTGTTTCTCTTGAGTTTTCTCTCTGTGTCTCTCCTTTTTATGCTATTAATATTATTATATTAATATTATTATATTTTACTTTGATTTAGTTATTAAAATGTTTTTATTTCAACCAACAAATTTTACTTTGTTTTTTTTTCCTGATTCTCCTCCTCATCCCACAGTGAGGTGGGCAGTGAGCGAGCAGTTGCGTGGTACTTAGTTGCAGGCTGGGGTTAAACCACAGCAGGGCCCTTGTGTGGGGCCTGAAAAGTTAACAACTGATCCAACCAGAGCATATTAAATTAAGTTCATTGTAAGCTTTCATTGCATTGGTTTAATAGTCACTGGTCCCAACGTTGATTTATTCGCCATCAGAGTGGTTGTGCTTGTTCTCGGGGCTGTGTTATGCAATACCTTACTTGCAGCATTTGTTCGCTGTTTTGGTGCCTGTGGGGCCTGAGCTGTGGCTGTAATTTTGTTGTACTTCAAAGTATCGGCTTCTGGTCTGATGGAATCGCTGGTTGTAAAACTAGTTCTGGTGTGTTCTCAGCATTGCCATCACCTCTGTATTGCGGGAGCCATCTATTGGGAATTATTAAAAATTACACCTTTAGCCTTTTCTCCTTGCAGAACCAGGCTATGGAGAGACTCCTCCCTCTCTCCCTCCCTCCCTCCCTGCCTGCCACCTTCAGAAGCCCTCCAGACTGATAAAAGTAGCATTTGAAAATTCTAAATGTTTTAATATCCTTTGAATACCCTTAAAACCAGCCTGGCCCCAAACTCCATGACAAGCAGTGCTACTCAAAGGAGGAAGAGAGGGACTCCAATTCCAGCAACAGTCTCTGAAGCTGCTCAAATTCTGTTAATAAGCACTGGGGCTACTCAAACTCCAGTTTGATTTCACTTGGAGGGGTGTCCAGTACAGCTGAAACTGACTGACCTGGGGGTGTAAACACAGGCTTACCATCTGCTATGGACAGATCCAGACTGCACTGGAAAAAGGTTGATGCTCTGGAACACCTGCAATATATCGATAATATCATCATATGGGATGATACAGCAGAAAAAGTTTTTCAGAAAGGGAAGAAAATAGTTAAATCGTTCTGAAAGGCAATTTTGCCATAAAGCAAAGTAAAGGTCAAGGGATGAACACAGGAAATTCAGTTTTGGGGAATACAATGGCAAGACAGGTGTTGCAACAATCCACATGCCATCTTTGCTGCCCTGAAAGACTGTTATGACAAATGGGGACCAACGTCATGAACTAAATTAACTCAGTGGACTTTTATAAGGATGGTCTATAGACTCAGAGAATGGTATCTGTGTGTATAGTTATCAAAAGATGGGAAAGGTGATGGGGTATTTGATAGTGTGGGACTTGGAATCACATACATGGTGTAGAATAAGTGCTAAATACTGTTCTGGTTTTGGCTGGGGCAAAGTTCATTTTCTTCTTAGTAGCTGGTACAATGCTGGGTTTTTTGGATTCAATATGAGGATAATGTTGACAACACACTGATGTTTTGGCTGTTGCTAGGTAGTGATTACCCTAAGTCAGGGACTTTTCAGTGTCTCACACTCTGCCAGTGAGGACCTGCACAAGAAGCTGTGAGGGAGCATGGCCAGGACAGGTGACTCAGACTGGCCAAAGGGATATTCCACACCACAGAATGTCATGCCCAGTATATAAACTGAGGAGTTATCTGGAAGGGGCCAATTGTTGATCAGGGATGGGGAGAGGCATCAGTCAGGAGGTGCTGAGTAATTGCTTTGTGCATTACTTGTCCTTTCTTGGCTTTTCTCTCTCTGTTACTATTATTGTTGTTGTTATTATTATATAATCATCATTAGTACTACTATTTTACTTTGTTCCACTTATTACAACCCAGAAGACTTACTTTTCTGTTCCCAGTTCTCCTCCCCAGCCCACTGGATGGGGGGAGTGAGTGAGCAGCTGCAAAGAGGTTAGCTGCTGGCTGGGGCTAAACCATGGCACCATCCAGAGGAGCAAACATCAGTTTGCTTTTCTTCCCCAGAAGTATTTTCTTCCCTTAAGTGTTACCTTGTTTTCCTTCCTATGTGGTCCTGCTGTAGTTCATGAGAATTGCCCTGGTGTCCTGCTCCATAAATCGCCTTGCCAGTGCAGCCTTTAGCCTTGGCTTATGTTTCCTGAGCAATTACAAGAAAAATAACCCACTATTCAATTAAAAGTGAACATATACTATGCAAACATGCACCCCTGCTGCTCATGGGTACTACTAGAATCAGTCTGGGGACAGCTGCTCAGAAAATATTATTTATGATATTTTTAGTGTACAAGTTTGATGTCCCAAAGTTCCTTTATTTAAAGAAAAAGTAGTTAAAAAAATTAATCATGAAAAATATTAAAATGTGAAATTAAAAAAATCTAAAGCAGAAATATTAGTCTCAAAGTCATGATGAACTGATGTCTTAGAACATGTCCTCCTTTATTTTTGCTTTGTTTTCTACTCACATTTTTAAAAGAAAACCACAATTTTTCTATTTAAGTTTCATTTTTTGGGTCAAAGAGGAGACACGTATGGAAGCTATTTGGAACTGGGAAACTTGATCTGATCCAACATGATTTAAGCATGAGTTTTCTAGTCAGCACTCAGGAACAGTTAAAAAAAATCAATAAATTCTATTTCGAAAAAGCTGTAAGAGAACATTTGAGTAAGCTGACAAGTCTGTATCTAGGTAAGAAAGCTTTTGGAAT